TGTCATTGATTATACAATTGAAAATGTTCTGCTGAAAACATGTGTGTTGGAAAGATACATACATCCCGCGCGGGATATTGAACATTTCAGTGAACTGTTTATAAACAAAATGAAATCGTATGTTTGAAAATTTCATATGTCACACAACGGACAGCAACCAAAATTTCCATGAAAAAGGAATGTAGTGACATGTTCGAACAAAAAGCTGAAGCTCCTACTGAAAGCTTTTTTCGCTCCATCGTTAGCCTCGTTACAATGCGAACGTTACTCGCGCCAGGAAAATTTAAAAAATCGGTGTTTTCGCAAACAGAAAATTTGTTTCGTAAAATGACTCTTTGTCGAGTTTCGGACCGAACGCCATCAGCCAACATCCATCCAACCCGAGCGTAACAGAACAGGAGAGTTGCACGATGGCGCTAATATTTCATTTTGTTATTTTTAACCATATTAACGAAAAATACGACGCTCATATTTGTCACATTTGACACATATATTTGTTACGTAAAATTTAGTGTCAAACGCTCTGTGCTCGCTTCGCTGCTCGTATTTCACGCTGTTTTTATCCCAGGATGCGTGACCCGGATTAAGTTCATAAACTCTAATTCAACTCTTAAACACCACGCTTCTCCTGAGGAAATTACAAACTTCAAGTACTTTTGAAAGCTTCAATTTCAGATTAACACTTTCCAGAGATAACTATTGTTCGACAATAAAACTATTATATATTAGAAACGAAAATATAATTCATTTCAATGACGTGTTATAACGAGCAAATCTTACTATTTCAATTTACTTTTTACAATCCTCTTTTATGTTGGTTCTTTTGACTTCAAAAATATTTTGTAAAATATTGATCGTAACTACTTTTGTATTATTAATTTAAGAAAGTGTAAGACGTTCCCTATTTTTTCATCTGAACACATGGCGCAGCTGCTCTCATTTTTAGTGGTTATTGGGAGACAAATTCCTTCCCTTCTCTTACACTTACACCCTACAAATGCCCTGTTTTACACCTGCCAATTGCTCTCCTGGCACTCCCATTGACTCCTGTGCTATACATTTGATCGACAGCCGCCAATGGAGTGGCTATTTATTTTTCTTTCCATTGACCTCTGGAGAATAATACTCCCTCTCGTACCAACACTTGAACATATTCAAAAAATATTTCCTTATTTCAAAATCTATCTTTAAAGAACAGATTTCATTTATGAGAAAATTTCTATGACGTTAATTATTGTGGTGGTAGGAAGACGCCGAAAAACTTTCAATGTTTGCAATTTTCAAAAAATCAGGGTTTGCCACGAACATGAAACCTGCAATGTTCTCTTCAACGTCCTACACACCATCAAACAAAAAAAATTCGTCAAAAATGATGGAGCCATTTTTAGAAAATTTTGAAAGAGGGCTTCATGTGAAAAAAATACAGTATCGGTTTCAAATTCAAGAGACTGCGACATCATTCAGATCAATTAAGGTATATCAATTTTGGAGAAAATAGGTGAACGCTTTCGCCGCTAACATTGTTCACAGACGAACGTTTTGGCGACATTCGAATTTCGGTTTCAAGGTCCCACACAACATGGATTCTGGCTACACTACTGTTAGAGGATACTTCTTCTAAATTTATCAACTGAATTTATCTACTTTTTCATTACTTTTTGCATGCTTAAAAAAATTGTTCGAAAAATTAACACCAGAACTTGCAAAATGTACAAGAGAGAGACCTTTACTATCACATTCCTCTTTCACAACTCAACTGTTAAGGTAATTTCTGTTTCTGCCATAATAATGAAGTATCAGTAAACGAAGTCCTAGAATACATTCATTACTGAAGCGCAACATTCCATGAAACAATGTTCCATCGTTGTACATTTTACAACAGCGCGAGTACTCTAAAGTTAAACTAGAATTTTGCATGTTGTGTATCATATGAAGTTTTCTAAATATTCTCTCTCTATTGTATTTGTCTTACAGGGTTGCAGACGGCCAATGGCCAAGCGAATAACTAAAATACCTACGGCTTTTCTATTTGTAAACACAATTGGTCTAACACGAAAAGATTATCTTCTCTCCTAAAATCTGTTCGAGGAGGTGACTAAATAGGTCTCGCGGTTAGAGCAAATAGGCGCAAATCGGAATATTGGGTTTCGATTAGCGGCTATGGCAATTCTTTTAACAGTCAAATATCACAATTAATTCTTGCTTAGAAGCTAAGCGGTTGTAACGATAGTTTAAAATACCGAAATACGAAACGTACTTCCACGAAATTGTTAAACTTTCAAGTATGACCAGGTAGTGAAATGTATAATATATTTCAGAAATAAAACAATACTTCTGTTTTAAAAAATTAGTTATGAACATTAACAAACATTTCCCCATAACTTCTTGTCACAAATGTTCTCTTCGAGTGCATCTCGGAGTTCTCCAAGAACTTGCTGCGTAATTTCACAGCGCCCCGAGTTACGATGGCTGCGAGTGCAAGTTCTCAGAATGGGCGCAAGTAACCCGCATACAGAGGGATGAGAAGGTGCCCACACTGCTCTCTTGGAAAGTGCAGTGGCTGAAAGACCTAGCTGGTGTTGAGAGACCAACCTTAAGAATACGACGTCCTAGTCACACATCTGATGTCCAACATCTGACACCCTGCTACATATTGAAATTTAAATTATGAACCCTACCCACAATATTGTTCTAATACATGGCAAATAATATAAAAATGAATGCTATTTTAATTTCCAAGTGTGATACAAAGCTCTCCTAATCGATCAATAATATCAAAAATATCAATATATAATAATAATAATAATAATAATAATAATAATAATAATAATAATAATAATAATAATAATATAGGATATGCAAAAATTAACATCCCTGGAAACAAAGCTGCTGTACAAGAAATTTGGAGTGAGTTATGGTTGACTGAAAGTCACTTAAATGTCAACGCACCGTGGATAGAACAGATAAGAGGTACTATAATGCAGATCACAGGCCGAATTATCTATGCGAAGGTGTCACATTTATGAAACCCAAAACCAGTGATACTGTAGATCTAATAATTCTCAAAAATACTAATTTTTCTGCATTTAATGAACATTCCTTGATTAAAAGCAGTCACATTCTAAATATTTTATTAACAATCACCTAATCATTCTTTTGACCACTTTCCCACCCTTTTTGCAATCTCTTTATCTAGTCAACTTGTAAAAAGCAAGTTTCTTTATTTAATTAAAATTCTAGAATCTTGCTCATTCCTAATTTTCTGTTCTGTTTTACATTCCTGTATACAGCAGTAAAAAGATTTCTTAAGTATTTTTATGACTACCCTTTCTTCTCTTCTCCCCCCCCTTTTTGCCTTAATTGTTGGGCATCCTCATCTCCCATTCCAAAAGATGGATGCCACCTGGCTGTAACCAGCATGTTTTGCCGTTTTCACATTTTTTACCATGTTGTGAACATTCATAGAAAATCTACGTTGCTTGGGCAGTAAGTACTTTCTATTTGTATTTATATGATATTATTTGTTTGTTTTTCCACTAAATTCACCCCCCTTTTTTGTGTTCAACTTGTGTTAATGTTTTCATTTCTCCATTTTGCTAGAGATTCACTGAGGATGAGAAGTGTTTTCCCGAAAGTTAATTATGGAAAATTGTTAATAAAAATTATTAATAATTTTGTGAACCGAGAAAATAGCCGTCGCCCGCATTCAAAAGTTGCTCGGCAATTGTTCGTGCAGAATCGTCTCTAAATAAACGTACACGCATATTGGTCGACAGTGTAAGTTCTTCACATATCTTCAGAAACCCGAATTCTTCAGACATGCCGACAGCTTGTCTGCTGGTATTCATCTTGGAATGACGGGCAAAGTTTGACAGAAATCACCGGCGAGCAGTGTAACGGTTTTGCCCAGCTGCTGAACGTTAATTGCTGCGGAAATCTCGAAAATCTCTCTGTCCTTTCCTATGGACTATGGTATCAAATAATGGGTTGGTATTTTTTTAAAAAGGATGCCATTTCAGATGTTATTCTTATGTTGCAAAAAGGGTGTTTAGCGAGGTTGAAATTCAATGGAAGCTCAAAAGTCGAATACGTCATGCGTACTTAGAGTAGCGTTGATGCAATACCCAATGTTGCTAGAGCCAGGGCTAGCCCATGCATAATTATAATTTCTGCGAGTATCAAATTGAGTAGAAATGTTTTTCTTTCTTGCGTGCCAATAAAAAATAAGACCATTTCCACTTCGTGTGTGCTCCATACCTGAGTGATACCAAAGTCATTGATCGTTTGTGAAGAGCCTTTTCTGAACCTCAAGATATGTAAACTTACAGCGTTTCTAAATCGTAATGTTTTCTCCCAATACGCCTAGACCGACATTTATTTGACACATGAAAATAGCGCGGGTGATTGACTATTTTCCTTTCAATTGACATACGCATATCTTCAAATAATATCAATGCTTCATTAAAAATGTCTTCCAAACACTGTACATATAGACAGGAGTTGTGTCTGCGTGTTGCAAAGAGTAATAATGCTAATAATATCTCACAAGGAATTTTTTGTTGCTTCAAGTACAGTTGCTACTTCTAGGGTCAATGGAGCAGTAAAGCGTCTTATACGTTTATTGAATATATTTCATCTGCCCTGATGATATCGCTCGGAACGCAGTTGATGAATAGAAGTACTAACCTAGCAAGGTTATAAATATTTTAAAATACACATTTTCGCTCGCGAGTTGTCTAGTGCAGTCTCATTCGCAGAGCGTGGAATTGCTGCGTTAGCGATCTCTCAGCGCGCGGGCGGAGAGCCAGCTTGCGATTTGCTTTCGCCCACGTGCAGTCCACACGCGCCCCCGCAGACTTCCTGTGCTTCAAGCACCGTTCGCCCGAGGACGGCTGCCTCGCCGACAGGCCACAAGCCAGCGACTGATGTCGTTGAACCCCTGTGGGGAGTGCGCATCGCATCTCTTTATTCCTATAATTGTCATCGGAATATTTTTGTAGCAATTTGCAAAGGAGCAGAAGATATACGATTTTTCGTCTTCTACTTGTATATTGGTAGGAGGAAACTGAATGTTTTTGGAGGTGTAGCTCTTCTACACAATTAAAATGCGCTAGATATGTGTAATAAGTAAGCTCGGATTTTTGCCTGTTGCTTTCCTTAATGAAAAACGCAATCATTTAGGTTACTTATTCATTTTGAGGCATTAGGAGTTTTAAAATGCAAAATTATAGTGCTATTTCACTAATAAATACGTAAATGTTGCCTATTTTAGTATTTAGTGATCAAAATGCAATTATCCTCATTCAATAATTTTTAAAATTGAACGTTTTTTCGTTTTTATCGTGCATATTATAGAGAAATCGACCAACAATCAATAAATCTAGTTTCCGTTTCACCACCACCGCAGTGCGGGTATTTCATATCACAAAACACGTGCAAAAGTGCTGGTGGAATATTTTTACTTCGAAGTTTTAAACAATTTTTAATCTAAAAACAGAATCCAAAATGTTCTTAAAAATGTCTCCTCGTATGTATCAAAATTAGCGCCAGTTTCTTTTTTGACTAACACTATTTTCGAAAATTGCAAAAAGTTAACATTGCAAAAGTACAATATTGAATACAGAGCGTCTTGCAAAATTTCTGCTTAAATTTCATAAAAATTATAAAAAAAATTCTCAAAAGCCAGTACAAATGTTTGCTTCAATTTTGTTTTGCACAGATAGAACAAGGGACACTTACAAGAAAGCCGCTGGTCTCATCTTAGTTGAACTTTCTTAATTTTTGAAAATATCAAATTTTGAAATATAATTTTAGATATATTACGAGAAAGAATGTGCTGTTGTAACACAACTAGTTACACAATTGTTTTATGCATGACGATTAAAGCAAATCGTACCATATTTTTACTTAGTGTATGTTTAAATTAAATGTGGGAAACAGATCATACACTGCAACATTAGAATATCAGCTTGCATTTAATGAAAAATAAAAAGGTAACTACTGCGATTCAGCCATTTTTGTCCGAATCGCCCGACAATGAAGGAAAGAATTTCTACAATGATTTGCCAGAACAACGATGAAAGCGATCATTCCACAAAATAAACTATATTATGTTTACTTCGCAAACATTCTACAAAAGAACATAAATAAGTATAAGAAAAATATGTAGTGCTTTTTTAAATGCCTATTTTAACTTTTTAAATGTTTATTTACTTTTTAAACGCCTATTTCGCCAGCCAAAACTTAGTTTTAATGCCTATAAATCTACATCTTGCTTAGAAGTAAAGTATAAAGGTCTAATAATGCAAAATAGTGAATATTTTAACTATCCTTAATGTGGATTCTACTTACGTGGAATAGCACACGACGTGAGTTTAACAAGAGCTTTCCCTCATGCAGGAAGCCTTTTATGGGGCACATTAGGCTCAATCAATCAACCAATCAATTAATCAATAATGAGAATTGTGACAAATTAAATAAAGAAAATCAAGTTAGTGAGGTTAAGTAAAGTCGACATGCATCCACTTGTGTGAAAAACAAGAAAACTGTGTAATAAAAATAGTTTTCGTTTCAAATCATAGAAGGCATATTTTTACGAAATCAACATCAATCGTTCATCATTATTCATAGAAATCAAAATCAACAAAATTTCACATAATTGCGACATTCACAATTGCATTATTTTAATGAAATCGTTTTGAATAAGCGAGTTAAGCTGCCTCCGTGAATTCACGTAAGAATTCCATTTGGCAGCGTCGCAGACACAGAGAGGCGGCATGGAATTCGCGATTATTACTCTGAAGGACAGAAATGTGTGGACATGTAATTTGATGAAAATAATGTATTACACTTGTTGGTACACTAATATACGAAGTTTCATGTGACTACGCGCAAAATGGTTATTCATTGCATTTCAGTGAATCGGGTACTGATATCGAGAATTTGTCGCTATATATCGCTTGTTTGATGTAAGGTCTACATGATTAACAACATGATTTTGATCAAAAGTGCAGTTTTCTAAAGAGCTCAATAATGACGCGATTGCATTCGATTTACTCACAATGCATTTAAAATTAAACTGTGATTACACGTGTCATTCTGCTTTTTATAACTTTTGTATAACGTTACAATTTTTCAACAGCAAAGTGAATTGGTTTTGAGGTCACAGGGTGCAGATAATTCATTCCATTTTCAATGCTTTTTACTGGGCACGTTAATAAATTCAACTCTGAATTTCGATATTAATCAAATTCATATTGATGACAAAGTGACAGGTAATCAGCGTGTCCTTTGAGATGGTTGAAAAATGAATTACTTCTCAGTTTGTGTATTCTAAAGAGGTATAATCATTTTTTTAATTGAAGGGACAATCTTGGAAATATTACCTTCCTTACATGATACCATTGGTGTATTATTGTATACAAAATATTTCATGAGTCAATTCCTTACAACCGAATAACAAGAAAAGTCTGCTGTAGTAAAAAGTAACCTACACCTGTGCCAGTAGATATGATACAACCGCTTTATTTTTAGATTCAAAGGATTTGACGTATCATAGCAACATTTTATTTTTCATAAAAGGGGGCAAAAGTAAAAATGTACAAAATAATGTTGCCGGCACTCCGCAATTGAAAAGGGTGCGTCCGTATACTCCCATCGTTGTCCACGTACACCAACTAGTGACTTTATTAGAAAGCGGGTTCCAAATGCTTCGCAAACGGAGTCGGAGAACAGCACTTTTTTAGGCGCTATCCTCTCTCGCGAGAAAAGTAGCCATTTCTTCTTAGTTCGTTGGTTGATTGATTGATTAGTGATTCCGGGCGCGTCAATTAGTAGCGTCATTACTTCCCGTAAGTGTATTGCATGTTTTGTCTCGGGAGGCGGATTCCCCTGCCAGATGGCGAGATCTGGCACCGACATACCTGTCGGCTAACGTGGTTTTCTCCAACCAGGTATCTCCCATACGCGTGACACCGGCCCAGCCGGAACAAGCTCTAAACTTCCCACCAGTCTCCCGGCATGTGTTAATGTAGTGCATGTAAGTGTGTCACCAAAATATGATAGGACAAGCAAGAAGTAGGAAAGATCTCGCGCGGTCCGCGGTCCGTTTGTTAGGGTGCTTTTTAAAAATGTATTTTACCAGATCAGTGGAATTACCCCTTTACAGGTGCGTATTAGCTGTAATTAAAATCAATAGTGGCTCGTTGTTACGAGTAACTATAAATTAGCTGGCTATCATAGTCCTATTTCTGAACGAGGACATCCTCATTGGGTACATTTATGATTTTTGTTTATTTTTTGAAATTGAATGTTACAAGAAAGTGAGCAAGATATAGAGTTAGGGTCCTGCTCCGGCATTCACCTGGTGTTGTTCGGAGAAACCCAGTGGCGGCTCTGGGGTTAGGCATCAGGGAGGGCACACGAAGTTACAGGATCAAATATAGTTAGGCATTTGAAATATTGGTATATTTGGATTCTTTAAGTCACATAAGTAAAATTTACAATCGAATTTTCTCCGCCGAAGACAGGCTAAACACATCATCTATAAATTAAATTGAGTCTTCTGTTTTTACATTCTGTAAATCTATTACTAATTCTTTAAAATTAAATGAGTCTCGTAACAAAACTCTTTATAATGAAAACATACAAAGTCCAATCAATCTCTCTTCCGACATGGTATTTCTTACAAAAAATCTATAGTCTTTTCAAAGTGGAAGAAGCTCTCTCGGATTCATTTATATAGCACATCCAGCTCAGATTTCAGTTTGGTAGCTCACGAACGGAGAGAACGGTGAAACGCTATCAACCTTTTGTAAGGGGAATTTTTCTTGATATTGTTGGAACGTTTTACAATCAAAGAGAGAACACATGGATAAATTCCCCTTAAAATAATATGGTCATTTACCACTTTGAAATTTCTGTACAAAAGAACGATTGCATTTCTATCAGATTGTAAAATGTTTATATCAGGCCGAGGTGGACCAATTCCCTTCACGCACCGCCTTGTATCATAACCACATTGACTGTTTTCAGGCATTTTACAGAATTGGAAACCATTTTCTATCTCAATTCACAATACGAACTGGACGCAAAGATCGGAACACAGCATTCACATAGTTTGTCTACACAGCGGATAGATGGTGTCGACCATGCCGATTGCACACTACTGCACTTAATGCTTCCAAAAAGAGAGATCAGTTAAACAGAATACCAACAGCACTGGCCTGAACGTAAATCAAGCGAGAGGAATATTGTAAGTTTAAAAATCGATCAATAGATAGCGCCGGGCAACGAGGTTGCTACCTCCCCTGTCAGGCTGCTGGGCGGGCCTTCACAAGACGCCATTTGCCAAACCTAGCTAGTTGCCCTTCGAGCACTCGTTGTCGGCCATTTTTATGTCAGAACGTTCCTTAACAACACTGCGTTTAGTACATAGAGGAGAGTGTCCGCAGCCAATGACAATCGTTCTACGAAACAAGCGGGAGTTTAAAAGCTAAAGGTGCGTTCGATTCGAAACCAACCCTACAGACCCACGGACATTATTTTAGACAGCGCAAGGGGAGAAATACTGATCTCAGTAGAGGGGGTGCAGTGTCCCTAGCGCCTCCCTGCTGCAGCCGCCACTGGAGAAACCACTAAAAACTACCAATCAGTGCAGCCGGCCGCTAGAATTCTCCTCCAGACAGCGACCTCCACAATTCAACCTAGCTAACTACTAAATGTCGTAAATCTAGCCACCGTCGGAACTCGAACCTAGGACTTCCCAGTCAGAGGGACTGCATGACATCAGTTGATTCCCTGAGCCATCTCTCCCGGTTTTCTTCTTGAATCAGGTCGCCTATTTACGACTAATATCTAATCGGAATCGCGTTTCGGTTACGTGTTGAGATTTTGTGGCGATCGTAACATGAGGCGAGAAGTGCCCCTCCGCCGCAAACAAGCCATGGAGTACCGCCAACTTTGCGGCGCGTTGGAGATCCAGGCGGCCTTGGGGTATTAGAGGGCTTAGGGCGACAAACAACGGTCTGGGACCACTCCCTCGCCCGGCGCTACATGTCCTCTCCCATAA